CTGCGTATGTGAGTGAGTGAGGATCAAGAGATATTAGGTAGAAATATAAAAACACACCTGAAAAATGGCGGCATTAAAGTTTGTAGAATAATACATTATGTGGATAACAAGCACAATTCTTCAGGAAACATGTCCGTTATATAAGCATGTACAGAAAGGAGGTTTGAGTTTGTTACTCGATAAGTAAATTTGAATGATGCTGTAACAATGAATGCAAATTACATTTTGAAGATAACTTTATTTCGTCGAATGTTTTTTTTGATGACGGGCGTTTTTTTTTTGTTTTTTTTTGTTTCTAGCGACCCCCTTCTCATTCCCTTAATTCTTACGGTGGCGGCATGGAAGAAGCTCGGTCGCCAGTCGGCTCAACAGGTACTCCCGGGCCGCTATCACAGCAGCCAGCTTCGCACCTCAGCATAGACAACAACAGTGAAACCGGTGAGTTCTTTTATGTTCCTTCTTCAATACATAAAATACAATACTATTGTGGTTCATTCGTATACACTTTAATATGTGGATCCGGATTGGGGGAAGCGAAAAAAACTGGGAACATTTTCGTTTTCAAGCGTATAGCATCTGTCGTGAACACACAAACCTAAAAAAAATTAAGTAACGTCCAGAAAAAGAAATTAATCCATAAAACATTCTTTCAAAGTTTTGTATGTAAGCAAATAGAAAAAAATATATATTATAGAAAAACTATGCTGAATTAAAACTTAATGGTTGTTTTTTTTTATTTGCTATGTTTGTGCGAAAGCTATTATCATATAGATCAAAATACAGGTCCCAGTATAGTTTCAGACAACACGTTTCGTCTATTAATACTGCCCACGAGAGTGGCCCGTTACACGATTTAGGAGTTTAAAGAAAATGCTTACTGAAACTTTATATTTTTGACTACCATATTTTCTCATAAAAATTAGCACACATTAACACATGTTATGAAAGAATAAAGTCAATATTTATATTTCATCAAGGCTGTTGTAAAGTGTGCGAAAAACCTTACACACACACAGATAAACTTTAATAAATATCAAGGAGCATGCGTGAAGGCCTTGTGGACGACAGAACTACAGAAACTTGAAAACGCGCGATTCTCAGCAAACCATTTAAAAGTTTACACCCCACCACCCCACCCACAAAAAACGTAGATTATACTGATAAAAGGCCTATATAAGAGGACTTTCGTAAACTTCCTACAGAATGGGTAATAAATGAGTAACTTATTTTTCACGAGATTTAAATTTGATTACATTACGAAATTGTTAGAAACGTTACTTATACATGTTGTTTTGTACAAGACCTGTAAAGGTTCTATATTAAAAATGTAAGGCTTAAAAATTTAAACGGTAATCTATGATGCTTCAAATGTCTTGTGGTTTTTGAGTGACAACGCGGCTTAATTCTAATATTCCAAATGTGGTACTTTGTCACCGATATATTACTTTATGTGTCGTGTTAGACGATTCAAGAATGTAAAACATAAGCTTATGCATGTCTTTAGAAAAAGTTAAGCTACGTTGAACTAATATGGAGAATTATAGTTTTCGGTATATATTTGTAATAAGTATTTTGCAGCATCGTCTTTGACAATAAATCAAACACAACTATGTTCGGAGCATGCATACACAGCTAAGTCGTATATCACGACTGAACAATTTATATATATATATATACATATACATATGTAGAGAGAGAGAGAGAGATCACGTGGACTTATGTTATACTGATTAGGGCGCCCGACTCGCAATCTGTGGGTCGCGGGTTCGAATCTCCTTCCCACCAAATATGCTCGCCATTTCAGCCGTGGGGCCGTTATAAAGTTTCGGTCAATCCCACTATTCGTTGGTAAAAGAGCAGCCCAAGAGTTGGTGGTGGGTGGTAATGACTAGCTGCCCTCCCTCTAGTCTTACACAGCTAAATTAGGGACGGCTAGCGCAGATAGCCCTTGTGTAGCTTTGCGCGAAATTCATGATAAACCAAACTGACTTATGGTATACATATAAATATCTTGCAAAATGTGGTACTCATATTTGGGTGATTATCGTAAGTTTTTTGGAATTGCTTAATTGAACGTTTAAAATTTACTGGAAACATTTTTCAACATAAAATGCCCCCCAGTGGCACAGCGGTATGTCTGCGGACTTAGAACGCTAGAATCCGGGTTTCGATACCCGTGGTGGGCAGAGCACAGATAGCTCATTGTGTAGCTTTGTGCATGATCATAAAACAAAGCAATCAACATAAAATAATTTCAGTTTTGTTTTTGAACTTAATTTTGACGCTTGCTATTAGCTTTATGCAAGTTGCGTCCAATTTTGTGTAAAACATATACCATGATAATGTAATCTTGTATTAAAAGCATTTTTAAACTAGGTATTTGTATTACTTGTTATTATTTACAAAAAAAAGAGGTGGAACTCCTGTATAACTTTTAATACAGGAAGTAAGAAGCCTGGGTTGCATCAGTTTTTACAGTTTAGCTATTTGATTGTACGACGCCAAAATTAACGTGAAATATCTTTTATTTGTTCCACCATCATTTCTTTACTGTTATCGGACATGGTTCGTCATCATGTTAAAAAGCTAGATTAAGAAATGTCAACACGAATCATATAAACGTTCAACTAGGTTGCTGTGGCAGAATTTTCTGAAGTGCTCATCCATAGCTTTAGTTTGTGTACTAGAAACACGTTAAAAGTTTGATCACGTTGTATTGATTTAGTTTATGTTCATCGATACTCAGTTTTGAGGATAAAATAAATTAAACCGGAATGAAAAATTAATAAGATAATTAAACAAGATATTGGTTGAGTTGATGTTATAAAGTAAATTGGGTTATCTGTTTTATCTGTACGGTTGATTTAACCATTCTGTACGTTTTGTAGATAATTCGTTGTACTAATTCTGTATTGTTCTAGAGATTTGGTTGCAACGGTTCTGGGTTTTTTAGAAATATGTTCGTGGCTATCCTATGTTTTCTATACAGTTGGTCGTTATTGTTCTGTGTTTTTCTAGACAGTTGGTGTTACGGCTAGCTATTATGCGTTTTCTATACAGTTAGCCACTGTTCTGTTTTTGCAGACGGTTACGACTGTTTTTTGCTTTATATACAGTTGTTTTTGTTATTCTATATTTTCAAGACAGTTGCTATTCTGTATGTTATAAAAAGTTGTTTCTGTTATTCTATGTTTTCAAGACAGTTGCTATTCTGTATTTTATATAAAGTTGTTTCTGTTATTCTATATTTTCAAGACAGTTGCTATTCTGTATTTTATATAAAGTTGTTTCTGTTATTCTATATTTTCAAGATAGTTGCTGTTCTGTATGTTATAAAAAGTTGTTTTTGTTATTCTATATTTTCAAGACAGTTGCTATTCTGTATTTTATATAAAGTTGATTTTGTTATTCTATATTTTCAAGGCAGTTGCTATTCTGTATGTTATAAAAAGTCGTTTCTGTTATTCTATATTTTCAAGACAGTTGCTATTCTGTATTTTATATAAAGTTGTTTCTGTTATTCTATATTTTCAAGATAGTTGCTGTTCTGTATGTTATAAAAAGTTGTTTTTGTTATTCTATATTTTCAAGACAGTTGCTATTCTGTATTTTATAAAAAGTTGTTTCTGTTATTCTATATTTTCAAGACAGTTGCTATTCTGTATGTTATAAAAAGTTGTTTTTGTTATTCTATATTTTCAAGACAGTTGCTATTCTGTATTTTATATAAAGTTGTTGCTGTTATATATTTTCAAGACAGTTGCTATTCTGTATTTTATATAAAGTTGTTGCTGTTATTCTATATTTTCAAGACAGTTGCTATTTTGTACGTTATATAGTTGAACAATTAATTTATCTTATAATAGCTTATAGTTTTCCATTAATAGATCATGGATCGTGCTTTTTCTCTTATAAATTTTGATTAAACATGCAATGATATATTTGTTACACATACGTACACATTCTTTCTGAATAAAGAAGACGTGACTGAATTATTTAGTTATGTCATAAAAACCTTGATTATAATTTTAAAACCACTTGATATAATATGCTTTTAATGTGCAAAAAAAAAAAACAGGATTGAAAAACAAATTACAACCCATATGCTTTTCATCGAAAGTATAAGGACATTAATCATTCGTTCAGGTTTGAAAAATAGTATCAGAAAATCTTTGTTCTTTATAATGGAAAACAAGACGGTAAATGGTAGAACAAGATAAATTAGAATTGTCTTAACTATTTATTATCTTTTATTTCAAGTGAAAATCAAACAAAATTTGTACATTTTAAAATCCAAGAACTACCGACTATTAAGACATGTTATGGTCAAATGGGATAACATATAATTATTATTTTCTTAAATCTCTATGCATGACTGCACAAAGATAACGTTTATCGTGGACAAAAATACTTTACAGAAATTTCGTTATCATCTGGAAGTTCAACTAGTGATTGCAGCAGAAAAAAAAAAATTTGTAGTTAAAGCTATTTAATTCATGTGTTTCCTAAACTACAGTGAGCAAACACGTAAGCGTAAGCATTATGGGGCTTAGAGGGGGGTTGGGAAAGTATGGAATTTTATCCAACAAATGAGATAGGCAGTTGAGTCCGTGGTTACGAAATAAGTTTAATTGACTAAACGCAAAGGTATTCTTAAAGACTATGTTTTGGAGTCATGGCTTAGGCCCGAGCCATAGCTTCGTCTGAGGTATGACTGCTAATTATCCTTAAAAAAAAAGTTTAAATGAGATTATGCAAGAGTGTCATTTTAGTGCAAGTAGAGTAACAGTGATAATATTAAAAGTATTATCTTAGCCACACTTCGCTGTACAATTTAGATAATTATGTTTTGACCTTAAGCAAGAATAAACCCAAGGTGCCTCTGATTCCCCCTTGTTGTCAACGGTGGCATTATCTTAATTACACATAATAGTGACTAATGATCCTGGTGACACAACACTTAGATACGTTAATGTTATAAACAAGCTTAAGGTAAACTAAGTAGTTGTAATAACTAACTAACTTTCCCTCACTTCTTAAGGTTGAATACATATTTGCATTTAGCATACACATAAACGTAGCTCAGAATTACCATATCTGTTTCAATCTAGTTTGACACCAACCTCCATATTTAATTTTTACAAATTCTATTGATATACACCATTTTCTCTAAGTTGACAAGGAAGTGAAAAGAAAAATCAAAACAAAAGAATAACTATCCATATCTTGTCATGTGTAACAGTGTTTGAATCCATTACTTCCTTTTAAAGTAGAACATTCTTTTAAGGGCTCTACTGTTTTAATGTTGCATAAAGTTTTAATTCAGATGTCTTGGTGATCTCATTTCTAACATTTTAGTAAATTACAAACTAGGCCGTTTTGGTATTCTTACTAAGGAAAAATTATCACACATTTACTTGTTGATCGCTGCAAAACAG